TACTTTTAATTCTTCAAAAAAGAAAGAAAAGAAAAAAAGAAGAACGTGTCTTACTCAAATTCTGAGACAAACGACGTTAACAGGTTGTCTTGGAACAGAGCAGAAGGGACCAATACGAAAATTGCTCCGCTCAAACAGAGCCTATAGTCACAATATAATATATATATTGACGAATCGACGTTCGTTATCAAAGGAACTTTCAACGTACAACCGAGTGAATCACATCCAGAATAATCAAACCGTATCATTAATCGTGTCTATCTCTGATCAATTACGTGCCGTATAGGCTGTCGTCGAAAGCCTAAAGTATAATGTCCATTGTCGCGAGTCTTCTCTCTCTCTCTCTCTCTCTCTTTCTCTTCGGAGTTCCCTGTTCCCTTTCTACGTAGAATAAGAGAATCTCATTCGTGGCGTTTGATATTTCATGGGAACGTGTTCGATCGGCCGCCTACCAAGGTAGAACGGGCTAGAAAGAGGAAAGGAGCTGGATACGTACGAACGGTTGAGAAAGAGCTGTGACGGGGTTGGCTAAGGGATAGGTATATCGATTGAACATTTGCTCAAATATTTAAACGCTATTACCGCTGGTCTGCGTACAGTTATACTATACGACGAACTCGGTCGCTGTACTCTCTCACATACACACTCTTTCTCGCTGTCTCCTCTTGTCTGGAATACCTGAAACTACTAAATTGCTCGATCATAGCCTGTTTCCCTTGGTTCGCGCATCTGCAACAATCACGCGTTACACCATCCCTATTCGTTCAAGATGACACTTCGAACCACCTGATTATTCCGCGTTCGGATTACGTATTAATACGAGCGGTGGTAACAGGGCTCTTTGCGAAACAATGAATAATTCACGATAAGTTTTAGAACGAGTTTTCTTTCGTTACATTCGTTACATCGTTTGAGAATTGAAATTCCAAAATAGACGATTAGAGTTGAAACGAGAGCAGAGGTTTGATTGAAATATAAATTCTTTTCGTAGATATAATGTATATAATTTTATAAATATATTGAGTTGACCAAGAAGTAATTGCCTGCTTTTTCAACAGACATATGTACGTAACTTGAAATGTAATTAAACTTCATTTTATACCCCAAAATTTATTGTATAATCCGACGGATTGTTTTAGAAAAAGAAATACACGGTTTAGTTGGCAATTGTTTGTTTGGCGTCGATTTCTAAGTGAAAAATCAATAATTTTTGTTATATTTCTGAAAAGGGAGGAAACAATACTGTACAAACTTACGAAATTATTTAATGTGCGTGATAAAGAAACCTTGAAAGTACGAGACTGACCTTTGTTCGTTGCTGACGAGAATATCGAATCGTTCCGAGAACTGTCATTTTGTCGAAAAAGATAAGAACTTTGAAGTTGACCGAAAAAAATGGCAAAAAGTAATCGAACGAAATGGACAATGTGTCGTGTAATAAAGATTTTGCGCTTCTCGTAAAAAATTCTATCATTTGTACACAAAAAAAGAAAATATTTAGCTTCTTGGCCAACCTAATATATATTTTTGATCAAAATATAAAGTGTTCGAAGAGAAGAATTACACGGGACAGAGTATACAATAGAAAATACACCTATCTTTCGAAATATATATATATATATATATATATATATATATATATATATATATATATATATTTATTATATCTTTATATATATATATATATATCTTTCGAAAAAAGATCTTCGTTCAAGCAATTGTCTCCAAATATCGAAAAAAATTCCAGTGCTTAGGAAAAACTTGCATTGCTCTCTTGGAGAGAGGAGATTTTTCTTAAACCAGCTTGCGGTACTCTCGCAAGCATGGTTGCCGATTGCAGCATGAAAGAGCAACCGAACAAACAAATAGGCGCGCAGTGGTGCTGATTGTATCGCGGGTGCCGTAATTGACTACGTGGTCCCTATGCTTGGAATGTTGATTGGCGAGATACGCGGCCGAGGCATCGAACAAATCGGGCCTTCCGGATTGAACCAATAAATACGAAAGTATGCCTCGAAACCGGAGGTAGAGCAGGTATCACTTGGCCGAAGGTCGATACGTTCGCTCGTCTGGGCCCCCGAGCCTTGGTTTATACGCGTGCACGCACGCCCACAGGAACATGTGCGTTCTGCACCGAGAGAGGGAAAAAGGAGCAGATGACGACCGGACCACCGTGCTCTGAGAGAGAACAGGTATTTTTGTTGCGTTTCTTCTACCTTTTGCGATCATTTGCAAGCACCGCAGAGTTTCATTTCCACAATGAGAAATTTAATATAAAAAGGTGTTCTTGCTTTTCATTCGACGTGGCTCAACTTTCTTTCCTTCTGTTTTTTTTTTTTTTGTTTGTTTTTTTTGTGTTTAGAATTTAAAAATTGAAAGTGGAATTCACGTGGTCCGCGATAAATATTTAGACTTACTTTTCAACAACGTTCAATCAGTCAGAATTAATTAATTTTCGATATATATATATAAAACGCTTAATCTAGGAAATTTTTACGCAAATATTATACCAAATATTCCCAGCTGATTTATCCATCCTGATCGATTCAACTCGCTCGGACAGTTCCACGAGCTAGCAATCTCGTTAATGGCCGAGAAAAAAACGTAATTTCCACTTTCTTTTTTTTTTTTTCGTAAAAATGGCGAATCCCTTTCGTCAAAATTATAACACTCGGTCACAACCGGCCGGTCAGTTAACGAAAGCGATGGGATTGAATAAAAATTTGAAAACCAATAGGGAAGAGAGTGCGGACGCGAGAGACCTAGCACACGTGCTCGTAAATTTTCGGCCGCGGTACAGTCGTAATTGCCACGTAATTTACAGTCTCCGCAAAAGCTGGCCTTTTGTCATTCAAATTCGACGGCTGTCGCGATTTGTTTGCGCGGTACCTTTGCCAACGCGGCGAGCATCGGCCACCATAAACCAGTAAAGCAGCAACCTGGCCGTATAAATACGAGGTCACAATGTCAAGGAACGAACATGAGCGACGGAAGGCCCATCCTCGGCGATAGAACTACCCACACACGTACACCCGCGTACCAACATCGCACGTCTGTCTTTTTCTTTTTGCAAAGCGCGCGTTCAGCTCGTCCGAGCGGTTAATTAAAGCGAGCAGATACTGGAAAAGGCGTTGTCGAGCCGTGTTCGTCATTAACGGCCACTACCACGTGTAATATAAAACTATTCCAAGCTGATAATGTAACTAGGTTTCATATTCGTGATAATGATACAACGCACGTTGCGCCATTGGTTACAAGCGACGTTCTAACAATCATTCTAATTACGCGCTTTGTCTTTCGCTCGATTTCAGCGTTTCGTTCAATGGCTGGATTGTTGCCTAACAAATGTTATCCGTTATGGCTCTGCACGACACTGTAATCGACGTAATTTTGTCTCGTCTCGATCGTCGAATTGCTTGTTGTACTTTTCATTCTCGATATCGGTGATAAAAGATACGTAATATCCCTTGCAGACACTTCTTTCAAATTGCAATCCGAAGGATATTTCGCGTAACGAAAAATACTTGATTCATATTTCTACTTGTTGTAGGAGTTGACGAAATATTTTTTGTTACAATGTCTACACAATATCTGTACTTTTGTTTACAACGAAAGTGAACGAAAATTACGAAAATCACGAAAAAGAACCGACGGTGAAAAATCTGTGATTTAAACATCAATTAGTCGAACATCGCTTGTAATTAGACAAACGCTGATAACGCTCGGCGTGCATTCTTCAGATAGGAAAATATGCTCTACGTATTCGTAAACACAGCAGCTGCTGTGTTTTTCAGGTGAAACTTCGGAAATACCGTTTTCAATTACCGCTGCATGAAAATACGGTGCGCTTTTTTAAACCTGTTTACTTTTTAAAACGTGAAGCCTGTGGTTATTCCGGATGGCTTGCATTCGCAAACGAAAAACCCGTAATTACACATGAGACGCGTTTATTTGTCTTTATCGGTCGCATAACTTTACTCTTTGGGGGGGGGGGGGGACAATGTTGTCGGACAGCCGTGTTTTTCATCGTTCGTGAAATTGACAGCTTGCGTAAAACAAATCAAAATCGTTTCAAATTTTCATTCTCGGCTTCGACGAACACGCATTTCACCTGTTTCTCGATTTTTCTTTCAACTCTAGATCTGAATGTAGACATCTAAATGTAAAGTGATTTTTTTTAGCAAACAGTTGAGTAAATATTATTCGGAATCGAAATTTTTGGAGTTCAGTGTGAGAAGCTGACGACTTCGTCGATAAAATTACATTATAAATACATGTTACTTTCCACGAATTGAAAATATCATCATCAATTCGTTTCCACTAGTTTCGGTAAAAGTATGTTAATTACGATAAAACGCTTCGTTAAAACGCACACAGAATGTACATTTCCTGTGGAAGAATATAATGATCACATCGTAAAACGCACGCTGGAAGGATAGCACACGGTGTTATCTGGAGCGGTGGTTAATGTAACGAAATAATGAATCAGAGGATTATCTACACTCTCAAGGTGTGCCTGGCAAGGATTACGAGTTTTCTGCATTACCTTCGCCTCTGAAATACTCTCGATTCATACAGTCATTTCGCAAACTGATAATTCGATTCGAATTCTCGATACCGATCGACGTGAAAGAAAAATTAACGATAAACTATTAACGATCATCAGGGAAATGGATCTCTCAACAACAATGAATGATTTACAAATTTACTTCTTTCGCTCTAACTTAACA